GGGGTCCGCGGGGGTCTCCCCCGTGCATCAGTAATTATTTCAACTCATATTTAAATGAAAAAAGCGCCAAACTGCCTATTTTAACTTTTCTGGACATGCCGTCAGGCCAGAGGAGGGGGGTCGGGGGGGAACATTGTTCCCCCCGCTGCAAAATACTCGAAAGAAGCACTTAAATCACCTTCACACCAGAAAACACTGAAAACCAAGGTCAGATGCCGATATTGATCGATTGATGCGAGCGTTATACGAACTGATGGGAGTGGGACTCGCTTAATCTGGGCGAGTCCCACTCCCACCGTTCTCGTATATACTCCCTTGCCTTGACCTGTCTCCCTGACAGCCAGGGTGACCTGCGCCAAATCCTGGAGAATTTTCTCAAAGCCATCCCGTCCGGATTGATTACATATGTTGACGGATCCGACCTGGGGGAGGCTTTGTGGCAGACCGTAATAAAGCTCCTCCCGGTACTGAAAACGGTGCACCTCAACGTAGAAAGAGGCGCCGCAGCCTGCATCCACGTACTCAGCCAAATCGAGACGTTGGACCCCCACCATGAACAGTTCCCTCGCATCCGGCGTATTCAGATACGGATCCTCACCTAGAACGGGGGGACGAACACGTTGATATCTTGCTCGTGGCTCTGGAAGAGTATATCCGATCCTGTCATATCGACGGAAATCCGCTCATGACCCTTGAAATGGACGATTTTCATCACTTTTTGGGGGGACACGACGAGATATTGGACCGTATGTTCCCGTTGATGGGAGGCGAAATACTTGTCAATGGTCATGTCTTCGATCCCGTCGTACACAGGGCGCAGGACGCGAGCCTGGAGGAACATCGGCTTGCTGTGGCGGCTGAGCTTGGGATCGAGGTAGTTGGGCTACGAAGTCAAAACAGTTTTCTTGGAAATCGATATCCGTTGACACTATAGCTACTGCCCAAACTCAACTTTACCGAAGATTGTGAGTAATAAACCACCTTGAAATCGGCTGAGCCTTGTCTTGCAAAGGTCGTAAGTCTTTATATGCGATTAGTCGCCAGCTTTATGATGTCAAAAAGAAGAGGCAAACACTTGAATTTGTGTTACAAACACGGATTACAACCGGTAACTTCTCTTTTCAAGACACATTAGAAACCAGAACCTTATCTTCTTTCCCCGCCTTTTTCAGGAGAACAAACCAACTTGATCGAGATAAACAACAAAAGGAGGCAGCAGCGAGTGGGAAGGGAGTCAGAAGCCCCACTGGACACTGGCAGTGTTGAAACCGTGGGGATACCAGCTCGGATCAAGCGAAGCCCCACTGGACGGTGTCGACGCCGTGGGCAAACCAATTCGGATCAAGCGTAGCCATAGCACCTTGGGTCAAGTCGATCCCATTGGGAACCTGGCAACCGGGGCACTCGTCTGCGACGATAGCACAGATGGTGGTACCGCCAACTGAAAAAAATGTTCATACCCATGATTAAGTGAGTGGAAATATGCGTACATGTAACGGTTATTTGTTGCCCGCAGTGTGCACCGTTGTCCCAGTGATCCGGTCCAAGTGCGACAGCCATGTCCCAGTCGTTTATCGGCCAGCCGCAGGCGCCGAAACCGCCGCCAGGGTAGTAATAGGTCGCTGCATAAACCGTAATTATTAGTAGTTTTCTGGGAATGTGAAAACGGAGATATACCGCGTCCGGTGTAAGGTGTCGGGCCTGGGCACTGGCCGCCGCCGCTGCCGCCGTGTGGGCAGGTTTGTCCGTTGACGTCGCAGCAAATGCTTTCGATCTAATAGGATTTTTATAATTATTTTACGGCTTCTAAAGGTGGAATAAAGTGAGAACTGACCGCAAGGCCCCAAGGGCGCAATGTTGGCCAGCCAGCAGTGGAATCGCCCGGGTATGTGAAGGGCCCCCACTCCTCACCGCCACACCCAACGTCCCTGTTGGTGTCAGAAACTGTTGAAAATCTTCGAACAGAATAGTAACTCGAACGGAGACTCACGGGTAACCTGTGATACGAAGAAAATATGTATCAGACACGAAAGAAAACAGTCCGGAATTCATGTACCGTAACAGGTGGCGTCTGGGTCAGGGCCGAAGCTCTGAATTCTGTCTTGCCACGCGGTAGGCAGGTCCACACAAGTATCAGCCGCGGACTCGGTGATACAAGGGGTTCCCCAGCCCGTCGAATCGCACAGATAGACATTACCGGGAGTGCGTTTCTGAAATAGCTTGTTAGGATCACGGGGCAATCATGGGGAGTAGGTACCGCAATTTCAGACGACGGGTTCGTCTCCGGAGACGCAGCAGGAGTTGCGTTCACCGCGGCAGCAAGCATAATCGCGAAGAGAGGAGCGAAGATCTTGGAGAAGACCATTTTCTAACGGAGAGGATAAGCAGGAGAGATTTCCAGCTTGCAGAATTGTGAGCAGAACCTCACCCATTTTATACTACGAGTCGGGCCGACGAGGAACCAGAGTTGAACTGCAAATGTCCAAATTCGTATACCAGTCTGTGGCGTTTCTCCCGATGCTATGAGCGCCGTCCATAATTACGTCGCCAGCACGTTATTTCTGTCAAGGTAGATATTTGTAGCAGAGCCGATGAACTGAGCCGGGAGCCAACGATTTTGTCTAGAATTGACCTGAGTACGAGGGAAGTTTGACTTGATCGATGTGCCAAGACACTGTTGCAGATTTTCTTGCCATTAGGGTCGTGAATTTGTGATACTGGTGCGAGAAACAAACGTGCATCATACCACAAGGACGCCGATAAACTCGGAGAGCTGATTTGCTTGTCTCAAACGAGTTTGATGATCAAATTTCTCAAAATCAACATCATACACTCGCCGTTGATTCGCCACTGCTGCTTATGACTTGCCCCACCGGTTCCTCTTCAGCCGAGTTGAAATCGAACACCCGTTTGGAATGGACGGCCAATAGCGGCGCTGCAGCGTCCCTGACCTCGAGGAATACTATTTCAACGCACATCCTGAGAAGGGAGAATTCGATTTCACCTCTGTAGGTAGCCCAAAATTATCGACGCAGGAATGGTTATTTTTGATCTTTCAATTTGAGCGGAACTAGCACCGAGCCATCCTGTGGAATATTAAAAGAACCAGGCACACACGACCTTGATCGGGACCAGATACTTTGGGCTCGAAGGTTACAGTTTACTTGGTGATAATCGTTGGACGAAATACGCGACGCGACCCCAAACGCTGCTGATTCATCAGGTTGTCAGTTTGAAAGGCGTTGGAGGAAGGAACGGCATTGTTCAATTCCTTCCTATCGCCGGAAGAAGGGTTGGAGAAAGGAAAGAGTTTTTTCCCCGTGTGATCCAGAATATCCGGCGGCGTCAAAATTGAATCGTCATCCATTAGTGAAGAATTTACCGCCAAAAATTGCTCAACCATTTGGTGGCGGTAATTATATCCATTTTCACGAAACTGCCGCAGAAATAGATGATTAACGCCGCATGGCCCGCAATGGTCTTGGATTGTTCGTTTGAAGAAATAGTGAGAGATGAAGCTCCGAGTCGGGGAACGTTCGCAAGGGCGTAGCATTTGACGGTTTGGCGTTAAATTCTGGCCAATCGGGTTTCCAGAATTGTAGAACCGGCAGGCAGAGAGGATATCACGACAATAAGAGGTTTCGCAATGTTGGAAGCCAGCGGAAGCCGCATTGGAACTCGAAAGGAAGTAGGAATGGCAAGAGGGCGGAATTGAACGAAGTCGCATAGAGCAAATAGCACGAGAAAGCCTCCGGACCAGGACTCTGTAGTCTTGAAAGCGATTGTTAAAGGCCAGTTCTCGACGCCCAGATAGTTTTCGTGGGAAGATATGATGGGCGTTTCATGCGATCTTTAGATATTTCGGATAGCCACTGAGCCCGGGATTTGCCAAGGGTAGTTTCAGCATGTTCCACCGGGGAAGTTGCTGAGTATAGGGAATGCGCAAAAGAATAGATGGTATCGATCGGAGCAACCGTGCACCAAGCCGCCCAATGCCGAGATGCCCGACCTACACCACAGTCAGGCAGCAGCCAGCACAACACCTGGGTCCATGACCCCGGGAGAGCCCGGCCGCCTACCCCTACCAGCCCAGAATAGTTTCAATGGTTCGAGGAACCCTTGACACGAATATGCATGAGAACACCTGATTTCTTGCCTGATTTGCCGAAACACTGCAGGCATATGCCGCCTCTCCCCCCGAGCAATGTAATATCCTTGACGTCGGGATTAGCGCATTGTTCCAAAGAGCACAATACTCACCTCTGTAATTTACAAATTGAATACTGACGCCGGAATAAGCGTTTGAGTCAGAGCGGAACTAGCAGCATAATTGTTTAACACCGACGAACGTGGCGAGGATCAGGTCCAAAATCTTTATTTGGGAACCAAAAACTGTGGACTTCCCTGGGCCACAGTTCGATGATATCCCTTGAGACGGAAGACGCGCCCCAAGTATTGTGGATTGCTCGATTGAGTCGTCCGACAAGTCGTGAGCAAGAGAAGGCGACTGCACTTGTTTCTTCTTTCCGTCTTACCCAAAATATCTAAATTGAATCGTCATCCGATGGCCAAGCAGCTACCGCCGGGTCAATTCATTTTGATGAAACGACAACGTAGGCCAGTGAGAATTCGAACGTCAGGCCGACGTGTTGCGCGCATATGTCGGACCGTCCTTGCCATTCTGCAGTTAATTTGAAGACATTTGAGAGTACAACTTCCCTGACATACAGGGCGTAGCACTTCTTCCTTTGCCCAGTCGGGTTCCAATAAGATGACGGGCGAGCTGCGCACGCGCAGGTAATCCAATGCATTCGCCGGAATAATGTCGAGTCGACATTAAGTAGCCACATCTGTGCTCCATATATCTTCGAGCAAAGATTTCGTAAGGGCGGACAGGGAGCTGGGAAGAAGTCAAAGTATGCAACACAAGTGGAAGGGAGTCACGAACCAAAACTGGGTCGAGTGTCGGGCAAAAGTGAAAATACCAATATACAGACGAACGACCCAACCCGGATTCGAACCAGGACTTTCCACGGAATCTCACACCATCCCTATTTGATGATTTGTGGATGGGATGCCGGCTTCCCTATTAGGTCGTCTAGATTCGTATGGCGACTCGGAGGACGAATATGCGTGCATTGGCAGTTCGAATAGGTTCGAATGGGCACTTCGAAATTTGAAGATGCATGGACGGTAACCTCGACCATTGGCTTGAATAAATTCCTCAACCCCCGCGGTCTTTGCGAATCGGGCCAGGAGGGAAAAAATCTCGGCGGATATGTTTGACCTGACCTGGATTCGAACCGGAGATTTCCACTCAATCTCGGAGCGGACTGATCATCTATGATTTGTGGATGGGATGCCAGTTTCCCTGATTGGCAGGATGGGTTCGAGAGACACAGTTTCGAGATGCACTTCAGAATTTGAAGGGACACAAACGGCAACCTCGAGCCTCAGGCTTGAAGATTTCCCGAGTCCTGGCAGTCTTCGATCACAGCTGAAAATCCGACCGAGAGGCAGAATTTTTTGAATGAATGAGGAAAAGCCTGAGAGACAAAGAACGACCCAACCTGGATCCGAACCGGGTTTTCGACTTACCTGAGATATAGATTCCGTGACCAGCTCTCTGTGGCATCTTCCCTTTAGGTCTTAGGAGGGTAAATATGTGGGCCGGGCTAGAATGGTGGGTGGATTTGAGTGCGCGTGGTGTTCTGAATCAAAGATATGCACATACCTACGAACCTTGAGAACGTACTCGAATAAATTGAGAGTCCTCAGTCAGGCGCAGCTGGAAGTTCCCCAGGAAGAAAAAAAAAACACGACCTAACCCGGAGTCGAGGCTTTCCACCAAAATCTGTTTTGGCTATGACGGAAGGTTTGTGGGATGCCGGCTTCCCTATTAGGTCTTGCAGGGATAACTTCAGAGCGAGGAGGCATGGGACAAGCACAGAGCGGAATTGGTTGAATGGCCGAGAGCAGAGTTCCATATATAAAATGTTGGAGAAATGTACTTGAAGCAAGCAAAATCCAATCTTCATAGGCACCCGTGATGCACAGATTTATGTCTGAAGAATCAAAAGAAGACCAGAATTCGAAGTGCATGAGAACCTCATGAGAGCAGGAAACAAAGGCGCCGGCTGACCTAATCATCACCGCGAACCATCAGCAACGACTAACATCAGCGGCGGCCAACAGCGACGAGGAGACGACGACTGCCAACGCAACGAACAGAAAAAGCAATCGGGGAAAGCAGGAGAGAAACGGCGAAACACGGAGCTGCAAGTCCATGACAATACCGTAACATTCCGCAAAAAGCTGACTGCGCCGCGCATGTAGCCTAATTCAATCCGAGCCCACAACCCGCCCCACGGGCGTTGACGGGAGCGTCCGATGGCGCCCCCCAGGCAGGACCCGCCGTGGTCCGGGTGGATCGAGACCACCGGCGACGCGCTCCTCATCCTCGAAGCCGCGCGCCGCGGGCTCATTCCGCGCGTCACGCGCCGCCTCGTCGACGCCGAGCGGCGCATGATCGCCAGCGGGAGTGTCTTTGTATTCGATGAGCAGGAGAGCGGTATCAAGCGCTGGACGGACGGCGTGTTTTGGAGCCCGTCACGGATATTGGGGAATTTTTTGTTGTATCGGGAGACGGATCGCAAGGGGGCAGGACATGGGCGGCGGCGGAAAGGAAGTGATGAGGGGGAGGATGAGGATGAGAGGGGCGAGGGTGGAGACAGTGGCAGCCTAAGTCGACCGAGGGGCGAGACGCGGCAGCATACGCTTGATCGCCAGCGCGAGCGGACGCTCGTCGGCAGCCTCACGAACAATTACAAGTTCAAGGCCGACGGGCTCATGAAGAAGGTACATGTTATTATCTCCTCCGTGTCCCCATATCTAACCATTGTCTTGCAGACCTTCTCGCTCACCATCTCCGGTGTCGCGCAGCACCTCATTTCGTACTACAAGGTGCCTATTTCCTTCTTTCTTGTCTCCTTGTTCCTCTCTTGTTTTAACGTTGACATTTTGCCTAGGTATCCGACGTCGAATCCGGCCGCCTCCGCGCGCCATCCTCCCTCCCCGAGCTCGCCTCGCTCGACATCAGCCCCACCCTCCTGGACCGCGGCAACTTTCGGTGTCCACCGAAGATGGAGGTAGGTCACAGGTCTCTGGTTCTATCTTCTTGCTTCCCTGGGCTCCGATTTCTACACTTCCTTCGTGCGCGACGCGGATCTGCTTCGGGTGCATTCGCCACTGTTGCACGTGTCTTGCCACTCGGGTTCTATCACTCGGGGTTCTGCGCTACACCTAAGCTCGGGCGTCGATCGGTGTTATGCCACTCGTGCTCGTGCTCGCGCCCATGCCTGTGCCCGTGCTCTTTGTATCTGCACGCCCGTTCCTGAGCGTCATACGCTTTGTTTGTTTCCTAAACGTGGCTGCTTCGCTTTTTCTTTCCTTTTTCTTCCTTTCTTTGGATTTTTCTCTTCTTCCTTTTTTTCGGTCGAGCTAGGACGTGTCTACGGTCTTGGATGCGGGTGTGGACGCTGAACGGCGTGGAGCTACTCCTCGTGTGCGTGGACGACCCCCCCTTCTCTTCCTGCCCCCAAAAAACCTGCACGGGGGAGGAGGATGTGCTTGCGGGACCGTGAGACTGGGGGTCGAGTCTGAACGTCAGGGGATGCACGAATCGCGATTTGTAGGACACGGGCGGCTTGTATACACTGAGTCTCGCCCGAGTGGCGGCCGCGAAGGGACGTGTGTGCAGACGATGGGGGAAACACTACACTCGAGGCTTGGGTGCCCTCTGCGACAGTGTGGAATGTACCTTCCAATAACTGGTGTTAAAGCTCTGCGGATGCGGAGATCTAACTGGAACGATCCGGGAGCTTTCGGCGCACCCACGCAGGAAGTGCGCTATCTGGGTGGTGGACCCGACCCCATAGTTTGCGGAGGAGGCAAGCGCACCAGACGAGCGGTGCAATGCACCATAGTCTGCACCTCATCTTCCTCGGTCGACCTATGCCTTCCTGTACCCGCCTTATGTCTCGAGAGCTTGGGTGCGCAGATGCATCGCTCGCTGGACGGGACCGAGACGTGGCCGAGAACAAATACAGTGGTGGAGTGCGTTCCATAGGAACGAGCTCTCGAGTGCCTGTTTTATTTTTTCTTCGCTCACATACCATCTGTGACCGATACGTGAAACAAAGAGGGCAGACGCTCTGCGTGCAGACGGCGCTAGGATGTCGGAGGGTGTACCAGCTGCTCGACTCTGCTGGTCGAAGATCTCGGGGTTTTTTGGTCTTTTCTTCCTCCTTTTGTTTATTCCCCTCTTTCTTTTCTTGCTCTGCGGTGATGGATCCGCAGATCCGGAGGAATGGGCACAGGAATGTATCCCGCGGGAGATGTCGGAGCTTCTGCGCGCTGGGTGGCTGCATCGCGTGCAGGTGTGGGGCACGCAGCGATTGGTTGTGGGCACTCTCGTTATCTGTTCGCCATCAAGATCTCCTGGACGTACCGTTCACGTTCAGCCTTCCTGTTTCTTCCGTCTTCTTTTCTTTTTCTTGCTCTCGGTGGTGGATCTGTGTAGATTCGGAAGAATGGGCGGTGGAGACGCCGTCTGTGCTATCTACGTTCTACGTGTGGATTTTCCCTTCTCTTCGTTTCGTGCTATCAATTTGGACGTCTTCATTTTTCCTCTTTTCTTCCCTCTTTTTCCTTTTTTTGCCTTATACTCCCGCTCCTCCCTCCCTCCCTCCACTCTCCCTTGCCACCGCTAATTTCCCTTTCCCCTCCAGGTCGGCATAGACGGCATCCCGCGCTATCGCGGTGAGGCGGATGAAGTCCTCGCGCTCGCTGCGGGACTTGACCTCGGGTTGGGGGTCGCTGGAGCGGGGAGTAGATCGAGCGTCAAACCCAGAGTTAGAGCGGGGGCAGGTGGTGCGACTACCAGCGCCACCGGTCGGGGGATCGGCGCACGAGGAGAAGTAGGAGACGAGGACGAGGAGAGGGGAAGCCGAAGTCGAAGTGGGAGTGGGAGTCAGAGCCAGAGTCAGAGCCAGAGTCAGGAGGAAGGGGAGGAGGAGGATTCGGACGAGACGGCAGATGAGCAAGACGAGGGCGGGGACGGGGCGCAGGGCGAGAGAGGCAGGGAGGATGTGCGGGGGAAGAGGAAAGGAAAGGAAAAGGCGAAGGAAATGGGGAGGGAGATCGCTCTTGGTGCGGTGCCTTTCCCTCTCCACTTCGTTTAACTAATGATCTCGCAGATCTCAGCGCCGCTGCCAGTACGAGTGCGAGTACAAGTTCGTTAGGTAGGTGCACTTTCGCCCGTGTTGTGCGATGGAAGACAGCTGTGGTCGATCGCGACTTTCTTCTTCCTTTTTGCTCTCGTTGTTCCTTGCATCTCGTCGTCTTCTCTACCCTCTTCCCATCACCTTTATCGCAGTGCTGACTGGCCCCACAGACTCCCAGCCGCTGCAGAAGCGCAAGCGCAAGCGCGGCCACACACACCCGGGGACCCTCGCGGCCGCGCAGAGCGCCCTGGCCTCCCCATCTGTACCCACCTCCGCGTCAATGCCCGCCCCAATGCACCGTACATTTCTGCCGGCAGCGCTCAGGGCGTCGACTTTGAGTTCGCCGACAAGTCTTATCAGTCGGGCATCGGCTTCGCCGAATCTCTCTCGGGCGTCACTTTCGAGCTCGCCGAGTGTCGCTCGCGCGATTTCAAGCTCGCCGACACTCAATCGCGCGATTTCGAGCTCGCCGGCACTCAATCGCGCCTTCGCGTCCTCGGCTCTGGGCAGACCACCGCCGCTGACGACGACGCCGTTGCCGCCTTTGGTTATGCCTAATTCCGCGTCGCCTACCTCGAGATCGGCTTCGATCTCCCCGTTAGCCATGTTCAATACGGCTGTTGCGGGGACGAAGCGTCCCAGACACACGGGCTCAGAGGTAGAGGGGGATGGACCGCCACTGAAGCGCATGAGCGTCGCCCGGTCGGGGACCAGATCGCCTGAGGTCGTGCTGGGAGGGGCACATGGACAAGGTCACGGACACGGACACCAGCACATGCCCCCGCCGCGGCTGGTGCCGCAGCCTGCGTCGA